ATAATTACACAAAAAAAAAGTAAAAAATAAAAAATAAAATGATTTATTAAGTGTGAAAGGTTTTTTTATATATATATATATATAATTTTTAATATGTTGTTGTTGTTGTTGTAATTCAATTGTATCGTTTGCATTAGCCACCCACGCACACACACACACACACACACACACACAGGTAAAGTTAATCTTTGCTTTTATTAAAAAAAATGTGAGGGTGAAAAAAAAAATAGATATTTTTACTCGGGTCGTGTCTTACTTATAATTGGAAAAGCGGAAAAAAAAAGAAAGAAAGAGAAGGAATGTTTTTATGCGTGAGAGAGAAAGAGAGAGAGAAAGAGAAAAAGACCGAAACGACGGGGAACGAGCTTTTTCGTTCTCTAAGACTTTATTCTTTATTTATTTATTGATTTTTTTCGGTTTTTTTTTTTTTTTTTTTTTTTTTAGAAAAAGAAGGAAAGCGTGGAAACGTTAGTAAAAAAAAAAAAGTGCGGAGAGAGTTTAAAAGAGAAATAGAGAGAGAGAGAGAGAGAAAGAGAAAGAGAAAAAATTTTAGGGGAGAAAAAGCGTATATATAGGAATTTGTCAGGGCAGTCTGAAATACAAATGCGACCTGGTTAACCTTTTTTTTTTTTTTTTTTTAAAATTTTTTTAAATTTTTTTTTTTTTCCGGTGATAATTTTTTTATTTTTTATTTTTCTTTTCTCTTCTCCTACTCTTTTACCCCCCTTCCCCTACCCCTTCCCCGCCTTTTCATTTTTCCGTTAAATTTTTTTTTTTATTTTTATTTTTTATTTTTTCATTATCATCGAAAAATATTAATTAATAAAATTTTTCCGAGAGAATTTTTTTTTCCTCCCCTCCCCTCGCTCGTCAAGGTGTTTTCCTTCGACTTTTGAAATTTCCGTTTCCGCGGTTTTTTTTTTTTTTTATTTGTCTTACGTCACGTTTTCATAAAATATAAAAAAATTTTTTTTTTTTTTTTTTTTTTAATTTTATTAAAAATTTTAACAAAAAAAAAAGGAGTAAATAAATAAAAATGGGGGAGGGAGGAAGGGAGAAAGGGGGAAAGGGGTTAAAGGGAGCTTTTCCAATTTGCGACAAAGAATTTATACGAATGTTGTCATAATTACCCTTTTTTTTTAACGGTTTTCAAATTAATCCCTTTTAATTATTATTATTATTATTATTATTATTATTATTATTATTATTATTATTATTATTATTATTATTATTATTATTATTATTAATTTCGTATTTATTTTTATTGGGGATTTTAAAAGTTTTTCTTTTTTTTTTTTATCTCTTTCTGTCATCTGCTTGGATTCTCACTCTCTCTCTCTCTCTTTCTATATATTTACGTAGTAAAAATAAAAAACATTTAATGTTTATAATAATAAATAATAATAATAATAATAATAATGATGATAAAAGTTGAAAGATATAATGGCGTGTGTAATATGTATGAGAAAATATATAACGTGAAGGAGAGATTCGTGGCAGAAGATAAACCACAGGGAAAACCTGATGACGTTTAAAAATAAAATAAATATCATGGGCCGTTGTTTTTTTTTTTTTCTTTTTTCTTTTCTCTTATGTTTATGTGCAATAAAAGAATGAATGAATGAATGATGATGATGATGATGATGATGATGATGATGGGGGTGATATTAATGATAATAATATATTTACAAAAAAAAAAAAAATTTCAAAGCACGAGTGTCAGCTTCTCAAATAAGTGATGGTTATAAAATGAAAGGAAAAAGTCACGGGGAGAGTGATGGAGAGAGAGAGAGTGGAGGAGGAAGAATAATTGTAAATAAAAGGAATAAAAATGGTTTTTGCGGGAATGAGTTGATGCGAAAGGAGGGGGAGAGAAAGGGGGGCGGGAAAGATGAAAAGAGTAGTTGAAAAAAGAGAGGAAAAATCGGTTTTTGAAATGATAATTTTTTGACTTGTAATAAAAGACTTTTCAAAAAACGTTGGTTTTAAGATGGCAACTTTATATTATAATGAGACTCCATTATTATCATTATTATCATTATTATTATTATTATTATATATACATAAATCCTTTTTCTGATGTTTTTCTTTTGACTTATTTTTTTTTTTTTTTTTTCATTATTCTTTTTATTATTTTCTTTTCAAACCGTTTTCCTTTTTTTATTTTTCATTCCCTTTTCACTTCTTTTCCTTTTTTCCTTTTTCCTACTTCCTTTTCCTTTGTTTATTTTTTTTAACTTTTTCCACCCGATGTCGTTCAACGAGGCAAGAAATTCACGTTTTTTTTTTTTTTTTTGGTGAGATTTAACGTCCGTTCGTATTGAACAAAAAAAAAAAAAAGGATTTTATCGTAATAAACGATTTTACGATCGTTTGTCATAATGAGATTGAATTTTTCGATATATCGAACCCGGAGAGATATCGATCGATCAATCGAATCCTTTTTGGAAAACTTGTCTTTATTTTTCCAACACACACCTTTTTCAAACCTCGAATATTTGGATTATTTACTTATTATCTCTAAATTTTAATGAATGATACAAAAAACATTGTTGTGTTAATGTTTTCCAATCGAACGAACCTCATATTATTATTAATGTTATCGACAATTTTTTTTTTTTTATTGTTTTATCTTTTCGCTTGATTTGATTCGTCTTTTTTTTCTGGGGAGTAAGGGAGGATGTGGGGGGGGTTAGTTTTAAACAGTAAAAATTAAAAATGGTATCGAAATTTTGTCGTTAATAAATTTAAAATGTACCATCATCATCATCATCATCATCATCATTGTTTTACTTAACTCTACCGTAATTCTATTATTAAAACAACAACAACAACAAAAAAGTTAAAATAATAATAATGATGATGATGATAATTGTTAAAAGGGGATGATCACTTGAAAGTTTTTTTTTTTTTTCATCTTATTCTATTATTATTTTTTTTCAATAGGTTTTTCTCAACTTCCGGTTTTATATCGATTTTTGTCAAAGTGTTTATTTTTATTTTTATTTTTGTTTTCTTCCTCCTCTTCCACTTCTTCTTCTTCTTCGTGTTGTTGTTTTGTTTTTCTTTATTTTTATATATATATATATATAAAGAAAAAAAAAAGAAATAAAAACAATCTTGATTGCAAAAAAAAAAAAAAGGAAAAAAGGAAAAAAAGGAAAACACATAGTAAAAATTAATTAAACGTTCGTAATAGGAATTTTTTTGTTATACACGACGGCGTAATAGTCGTTATTACCCCCTAAATAAATTACTCGTGTAATAATTTATAGTATTTAAAATTAAAAAAAAAAAAATAAACGAAAGAGGGGGGCATGGGTCGTGAGGCGTGGGGGGTGGGGGGTGAGGTGGGATTTTATTTATTTATTTTTGTTGTTGCGATTCTG